TGAAATGGCAAGATTCTGCCATCCACAGGAATGTCTGTCTGCCAACCCAGCTGGAAGAGGCAGGGTGTGAACTGAAAGCCATGCGAGAAATGGCAGAAAGGAGTCAAGAGCTGGAGGAGGAACATAAGGAACCAAAGTCATCACTCCAGGTGGAAGTCAAGGAAGGCAAATGTTTGCAGAGGACTCAGGCAGAAGCACACAGGGAGCCAAAAGCAACCCTGCAGCTGATTCAAGCCCAGATGATTGAACTGAGTGATCAGTGTGAGAAGCTAAACAAACGCAGCCAGCAGCTGTTTCAGGAATTGGAATGGCTGGAGAGGGAAAGATCCCACTGTGTCGTTTCCAGGCCACACTGGACTAACCTGGGAGCAGACAAGGACTCCATCCTCCTGGAGGCCATGAGAAAGCAGCCAGCAGAGCTGCGAGCATTCATAGCTCAGTACAGCTACGATCCAGTGAGTGGTCCCAATGAGTGGCCTGAACTAGAACTTCCCCTCATTGCTGGACAACATGTTTATATCTTTGGAGACATGGATGAGGATGGTTGGTATGTGGGAGAGCTGGATGATGGCACAAGAGGATTTGTCCCCTCCAACCTTGTTGAAGAAGTTCCAAACGATGGACAGCCTGATGGCACCACGGTGTCTCCAGACACTAATGATTACAGGGTAGAGATGATGTCCTGTCTTCTTAAATCTCCCTATTAAATGTTTTCTTAATGATGTCTCTGTGTTACCCCCCTGCCCTGTGTATATGTGGACTGAAAGGACCATGTGCCAGCTACTGGGGGGCTGGTATGGGTGGGATGAGTGCTGGATAATGGAGCCAACCAGGAGCTGTAGGCACCCCTGGTTTGTGGTGCCAGATACTGGCATGGGTCCCAGGGTAGATAGTGGAGTGGGTGGGGGTCTTGACTCTCTGGCACTGGAGGGAGAAAGATGTGTGTCCTGAAAACCACCAGCTGGGGGGTCTGGCATGAGTGAGGTGAGTGAGAAGCTCTGTGAGTGTCTCTGTCTTTCCCAAACCTGGTCTGCATGGTTTGTGCATGTGCATTCACCAGCAAACTTCAAGCTGGTGACCTGGGGACCCTCGGGTCTAGGCTGAGGTATCAGCTGGGCAGAGGGGCTGTGCTGGCGCCTGGGGAGATGTGCAAATGTGGGGTGCCTGTGGGACAGATGTGTAAGTGCTGCATGTTTGCAGGAAGCACCAAGGCAGACCAGTCAGTGAACTGGGGACTCGTGGGATGGGTCAGAGAGATGGGATCTGGGCAGGGGTACCAGGGCCAGAGAGTGGGTTGTGTCAGTACTCAGAACTGCCCTCAGAAATGTCCTGAGGATGATGTGGAGCTGTGAGCAGCCCTGGCCCATGCAGCACCCTCCCAACGGAAGCAGGACCCTGCCCTGCCCAGCGCTGCTCTTTCCACCCACAGCTTCTCCCCAAAGTGCTCCCCGAGCACACTGAGCACTGACCCTGGCAGGCAGCAGAGTCCCTGCCCTGGCACAGTCCCTGCTTAGAAGGACAGCCCTGGGCACCCCCGGGTGCACACCCAGCCTCACATCACCAACCCTGTGGCTGGGTGCTTTCCTTGCCAAGGAAAGGTACTGTCACCCTCCCATGCTGCCTGTTCCTGTAGACTTGTTCACAGGGGCTTTTGGAACACTCTGTCACTGGGCCCTTCAACAAGCCCCTGAGCTACTGCAGACCTCACAGCTGATTTGGCATCTGCTGCATCATGTGGGCTTGTGCAGAGCAAGGAACAAAACTGAGACATGACCACCAACCTCAGGGAGGTCCCTCCATTTCTCCTGGGTGTTGGGTAGGCCTGGAGAGAAAGGTGAAAGCAGTTATAGCTTCTCTGAGTTGTTCCCTTCAGGGTCCTCCATGGTGGGAGAAGGGAGCTGAGCATGAACAGACCTACCCTGGCACACACACAAGTGCACCATCTCTCATTTCTGACAAGACATGAATTCAGCAGTGATCACAAAATCCCAGAATGGTTGGGGTTAGAAGGGATCATCCAGTCCAACCCCCTGCTAAAGCAGGTTCATTTACAGCAGTTGCACAGGATGGTGTCCAGGCAAGTTTTGAATTTCTCCAGAGAAAGCGACTCCACAGCCTTCCTGGGCAACCTATTCCAGGGCTCTGACACCCTCAAAATAAAGAAGTTTTCCCTCATATTCAGGTGGAACTTTCTGTGTGGCAGTCTGTGCCCACTGCCCTGTGTCCCATTGCTGGGCACCACTGGAAAGAGTCTGGCCCTGCCCTCTTGACACCCACCCTTCATAGAAAGGTATCAGATAGTACAAGCACGATTTTTTGGTGAATCCATGCTGACTGCTCCTGCCAACTTGCTTTTCCTCCACATGCTTAGAGATGTGCTGTGGTTTAGGAATGGTGCTCCCTAAAACACTGCTCCCACTGAGACCCTCCAAACCACGCTGGCACCCCCCTGTTTCCCCTCCCTTTCCCCCCTCCCCAGGGGCTGGAGTTGAGAACTGGAGGCACAAAGGGTAAAGATCATCGGCTGAGCTAAGAATAATTTACTGGAAACAGAAATGAGATAAAGAACGAACAGTATCAACAACAGTATTAATAACAAAAGTGTTCAAAAGAGAGAGAGAGAGTGTGATTCATTCACCCAAGAGCCCGACCCGACCCCACCGCAGCCACAACGCCCCGGCCGCTCCCTCTGGCTGGGAACCGGCGTTAGGGCATCGCTCCCTCCTCCGCTCTTACTCCTTCTCCCCAGAAGAAAGCCCCTTTCCCCTGTCCCCAGCAATGACGAGAGTTGGTGTAGAATAACCTCCTCATCCCGGCCGTGCCCCCTCCCGGCTACTGCAAAAATTAACTCTGTCCTGGTCGGAAGGGAGACAGGAGGATACCTGGAACGACCTGTCCCATCACCTCTCCAGGGGTGGAGGGGAAGCTGACTCTTCTGTAGTTTCCTGGGTCCTTTTTGCCCTTTTTAAAGACTAGAGTGACGTTGGTTTTCCTCCAGTCCTCGGGCACCTCCCCTGTTCTCCATGACCTTTAAAAATGATGCAGAGTGGCACAGCAATCACATCTGCCATCTCCCTCAGCACTCAGGAGTGCATCCCACTGGGACCCATGGATTTGGGGGTGTCAAATTTGCCTAAATGATCTCTAACCTGATCCTCCTCGATCAATGGAGTCTTCTTTTCACCAGACTTTCTCTCTTGCATCCAGAGTCTGGGAATCCAGAGGGCTGCCCTTAGCAGAAAAGACTGAAACAAAGAAGGCATTCCACCTTCTCTGTATCCTGTGTCACCAAACACCCACCCCATTCAGCAGTGGGCCCACATTTTCCCTCATCTTTCTTTTGCTACCAATTTACTTGAAGGAGCCCTTCTTCTTATCCTTGACATCCCTTGCCAGATTTAGTTCAAAGTGGACCACAGCCTTTCTCCACATCCCTGCAAACTCTGACAATGTTTCTATATTCCTCACAAGTGGCCTGTCCCTTTTTCCACATTCTGTAAACTTCCTTCTTCTTTTGATTTTGCCAGCAGCTCCTTGCTCATCCATGCATGTCTCCTGCCCCCTTTACTTGATTTCTTACTCATAGGGATGCACTGATCCTGAGGTTGGAGGAAGTGAATCTTGAATATTAACAAGTTCTCTTAGACCTTCCCCCCCACACCTAGTGCCCTAACACATGGGATGGTAGTCCAAGTAGTCCTTGAAGAGGCCAAAATTACTTCTCATAAGGCCCAGGACTGGGATCCTACTTATGGCCCAGCTTCCTCCATGCAGGATCCTGAGTTCCACTGTGCATGGTCACTGCAGCCAAGGCTGTCCCCAGCCTTCACACCCCAACCAGTCCTTCTGTGCTGGTTAGTACAAGGACCAGCAGCACCTCTCCTTGTGAACTCCTCCACCACCCGTGGCACAGAGTGATCTCCTCACCCTGCAGGACCTCCTGTGCTGTCCTCCCAGCAGATATCAGGAAGGTTGAGGTCCCCCATGAGATGATTCCTGTGACCCTGAGGCCATTTCCAGCTTTCTGTAAAAGGCCTCAGCGACTTCCTGATCAGGTGGCTGGTAGAAAACAACCACAACAGTGTTATACTGTTATACATAGAATCATTTAGGTTGGAAAAGCCCTCTAAGATCATCGAGTCCAACCACCAACCCAGCAATGCCAAGCCCACCACTAAGCATGTCCCCAAGAGACAAATCCACACAGCTTTCAAAGCCCTGCAGGGTTGGTGACTCCACCACTGCTCTGGGCAGCTGTGCCAGGGCTGGACAACCCCTTCTGGGAGGAAGTTTTCCCTAATATCCAACCTAAACCTCTCCTGGTGTAATTTGAGGCTGCTTCCTCTTGTCCTGTCCCTTGTTCCCTGGGAGCAGAGACTGACCCCACCTGGTTCCACCCTCCTGTCAGGGAGTTGTGGAGAGCAAGAAGGTCCCCCCTGAACCTCCTTTCCTCCAGGCTGAGCCCCCCCAGCTCCCTCAGCTGCTGCTGGTGCTCCAGACCCTTTCCCAGCTCCATTCCCTTCTCTGGACACACTCCAGCCCCTCAATGTCTTTCTTTGAGGTGGGGTCTCACCAGGGCCCAGCACAGGGGGATGGTCACAACCCGAGTCCTGCTGGCCATGTCTGGCCTCAGAGAAAGCACTTACTGCCCTCCTCCACTTGCAGGGGGCAGCTTCCCCTACAGCAAAATCATCTGGAGTTGCCCATCTGGCAGTGCTGGGCATCCCCAGGGCACAGGTGAGCTCATCCCCGGGGTTTGTGCTGCTGGCAGGTGTGGGGACAAGCACAGCCATGGACCAGCCCCGCTGGCCTGACTTCCTGGGCTCCTGCAGGATGCACTGAACCCTTTTCTCCAAAGTGCCTGCCAACCTTTTCTCCACAGGCTACAGGGAGGTGGGAATATCCCTCAGGGACAGCCTTGGTACTGACACACATACAGACAAATGCCACCAAAGGAACTTTATTGTGTACATTTACAAAGTAATCCCTTTTCGGTGTAATTGGTGTTCAAGAGGGAGAGAGAGAGGATGAGACACAACAACCACAAGTCGTGATTGGAGAAATTCTGACCACACAGAAAGGGTTGGTTTTTACCCTTGAGAGAGATGCAGCATTGGACCAGAGAGGTAATGAGACCTTTGCCCTTGGAGACCCTGCAACACTCAGCTGAACAAGGTCCAAAGACACTGAAGGCAGCCCTGAGGTTAACCCTGCTCTGAGCAGGTGGTTGCCACAGAAACCTCCACAGGTTCCTTCCAACCTCAGTCTTACTGTGAGTCTGAACTTCCCAGGTCCCTTAAAAAAGCCTTGTCTTCCTCCTTCCTGGGACATATTTTCAGATATGTCCCAGGACCCAGCCAGAACCAAGGGTGGACTTTTATCCCCCCAAATAATGCCTGTGGAAACATGAAAATGGGAATCCCCTCATCAACACTGAAAAATGACACCCGTCCCATTTCATAATCCAGAGAGACCCGAATCCTCATGGGAGTCTTGATTTCAGGAAATTCAGTGGGACTAGGGGAGGTGAAAGCTTTCAAATCTGCAGCCTGTTTCCCCACTGCCCAGATGCCTTCCTCTGGTTTAAACTCAGTATTACCCTTCCTTCTCACATCTTCTCTAGACACCCCCACAGCCCATCCTCCTGCCTCCACCACCACCTCCACGTCCCAGTAGTGTCTCCCCGAGGTGAAGCCCCCACGGCCCAGAACACAGTGGAATGGGTCAAATCTCTTGGGGGTGACGAGGATGTCCTGTTCTGTGTTATCTCGTGCCACACTTTTGCCATTGTAAGACAGGACAAGCTCACAGTGGGCTGTGTCTGGATCCAGAACCACGTTCGCTGCAGGAGAGATGGAATCAACACATCAGGGCAGAGCTCGGCCCAGGACACATCTTTGCTGGGGCTGCCTAAGGAAGAAGCAGGGGGTGAGGGAGAGCTGGCAGAGTGTGGCATGGCAAGGTGCACAAGGTGACAACATCAGTGCAAGGAAGAGACACTGCAGCAGAGAGAAGAGAGGGAGCAGAGAGGGAAGAGGATCATCAGCAGAGCTCCAGGAGGAAGAATTGTGCACAGCTCACCGAGGACAAGGATCCTCCAGATTTGCCTGAAAGTGGGACATGCACCAAAGGAAAGGGAGGCTCAGCAGAAGCATGCCTGGTCCCAGCAGCATCACTTGCAGGAGGGGAACTGCCAGGAAGGGCCATTAAAGCAGGCAAGATGATTCAGCACCAGGAAAGACCAGACTTAGTTACCTTCTTCTATGGGCACTGCATGTCTTCTCCATGCTTTAAAAAAACCCACAAAAACCACAGGTCAGAGGCAATGGAACACACTGGGGCTGGGTTAGCTCAGGGGAATGATATGCCAGGGGAGGTGCACATTTTCTGAATTGTTGTTATCTTTGTCAAAGTCATCTCACAGCGAGTTGCTTCAAAACTTCAGTGTCTGACTACATGGAAGGGCTGCACCCATTTCCTACAAATCCAATCACGCTGCCTGTCCTGACTCAGACATGCAAGAATTTTCTTCTTAGTACAGAACAATTACAGGGAAGAGCCTAAAACCACACAAAGACCAACGGAAAAGAATGTTTCTGAAACAAGTTCTGTATTTGTTCTGTGCCCAAAACGAGGGCACACATGGAAAACAGAGGGGAGAAAAAATGCCCAACTGAGGAGACACCCACAAAGAGAAGAGAATGATACTCATTGAGTTCCTTGACTAAAAAAAACGAAAGAAACATCTCACCCTACAAAGACTCTGTAAATCAATCTTTGTAAGGAAGAGTAGGACACTCACCTATTTCTTCATCGCGCTCCCCTGAACCACAAACACAAACACACACGAGTTATTATGTGACACAGTCCCTTCCCTGGGATCCCCCACCCCCTAGCAGAAGGATGAGAGAGGTCAGAAAGAATGAGATGGAAGGGGGAGATGCTCTGGTTTTGCTCTGATTGCAGGGACAGCTGACCTGTATTTAGTATCCCCATCATTTTTCTCCCTTCAGTGGCACCATTTTAGCAGGAGGTTCTGTTTCATAGCCAAAGGACTATTTATTGGCAATTCTACAAGCAATAAACAAACAAGCAAACAAAAATACAGGACCTCTTCAAGCAAGTTTTGTTTTTGAAGACTTCTTGGTAATCAAAGAATCGACATTTTTATGAGTAATTTCCCAACAGTTCAGGTTTCTGTACTTTGCCCCTAAAGAACAAGAACTGTTCAGAACTATTTGACTACTTAAATTAAAAGGAGTGTCCAAAAGCATGGACAGCCACTCAGGGGAAAAATCCCAAGGATTGTTCAGGGTGAATTTTCAACTGATGATGGGGTCAGGGGAAGAGGAAGGAAAATATCTGCCCAGTAACAACATTTGGACAGACTGAGAGAAGGAATGAAAAGGTCTGGCAGTTTTCACAGAGGATTTCACCCAGGAGAAGGGCAGTGAGACTTACGCAGTGCTGCCTCTTGCCACTCTGGAAAACAAAACCGGATCAGAGCGTCGGCAGCAAAGTTGGTGCCATTTCCCAGATCCACTGCTTGGGGTAGGGAGGAGGCTGAAATTGCTCATGAGGGAAAAGCTGCAACCCAGGAGCTCCTCAGGACCTGTCTTCCCAAGACTTTGGGGGTCTCACCCACCCTCCCTGAGCCCGCTGTGGGCAGAGATCAGACCGTGCTGCTGGAGACCTGAGCACGGGCTCCAGCTCCAGGGCAGCGCTGAAGGGGCAGCTTTGCAGCACCAAGGGAGGAGCGTGGGGTGAAATGTCCCCTGCAGTGCTCCCTAAGGGCCCTGTGCCTGTGCTCTGCACTGCTCAGAACAGCTGAGGCCCCTGCACAATGAAATGTGCTACCCCAAAGCTTCCTCCATCTCTAGAAGGAAAGGAGACCCTGCCAGGCCCCCCAAACTGCCAGGGATTCTTTGCAGGTCAAGGCAAATTATTGTTCCATTTCTGTGCTGGGGCAGAGGAGCAGCTGATGCTGCTTTAATGCCAACTTCCTTCCTTGCCTTCTTCTGGGAGAAAAAAGCTTTCTTTTCTTCACAGAAGTTAGGGCCGTGGGGTTTTAAGTTCCCTGGCACCAAACATGAAAAACACAGGGGAGAAAAAATGCCCAACTGAGAAGACTCCCACGAACAGAAGAGAATGATACTCACCGAGTTCCTGGGCTTGTTCCTCTGAAAAGGAAGAGAAAGCAGCACAAATGGGTTGTGGGCCATTGATTTGGCCATCCCCTGTCTGCCCTCTCCTGGGACCCCCTGCACGGGCTGGAGGGCGGGTTTGTGCCAAGGCTGAGCAGTGCAAAGCCCTGTCCCACCCCCAGCCTGCAGCTCTGCTCCCCCGCCCATGGGGCAGCTTGTCCTGCTCAACCTGGGGGCAGGAAATGACCTCTGGCAGGTCCCTCATCTCCAAGGGCACCAGGGCACTCCCACCCTGCCACTGCTACTGCTGCTCCCACCCGATCCCATCCCCAGGCACCATCTTCAGTCACCTTGAATTTTGGATTCTCAAATTCACTCTCTCCTTCCTCCAAGCCACAAACACTTTTTTGTTCACTTCACACTTTAAAAGTGAAAAAAAACAAAGAAACCCCCCACCCTACACAGACTCTGTAAAAAATTATTTGTAAGGAAGAGTAGGACACTCACTTATTTCTCTAACGCAGTCCCCTGAACAACAAACACAAACACACACGAGTTATTATGTGGCACAGTCCCTTCCCTGGGACCCCTCCCACCTGAAGGACCACACAGAAAAGAATGAGATGGAAGGGGGAGATGCTCTGGTTTTGCTCTGATTGCAGGGACAGCTGACCTGTATTTATTATCCCCATCATTTTTCTCCCTTCAGTGGCACCATTTTAGCAGGAGGTTCTGTTTCATAGCCAAAGGACTATTTATTGGCAATTCTACAAGCAACAAACAAAAAAGCAAACAAAAATACAGGACCTCTTCAAGCAAGTTTGGTTTTTTTGAGAATTCTTAGGAATCAAGGAATCTACATTTTTAGGAGCAATTTCCCAACAGCTCAGGTTTCTGTACTTTGCCCCTAAAGTACAAGAACTGTTCAGAACTATTTCACTACTTAAATTAAAAGGAGTGTCACAAAGCATGGACAGCCACTCAGGGAGAAAAATCCCAAGGATTGTTCAGGGTGAATTTTTACCTGATGATGTGGTCAGGGGAAGAGGAAGGAAAATATCTGCCCAGAAAGAACATTTGGACAGACTGAGAGAAGGAATGAAAAGGTCTGGCAGTTTTCACAGAGGATTTCACCCAGGAGAAGGGCAGTGAGACTTACACAGTTCTGCCTTTTGCTCCGCTGTAAAACAAAAGCAGATCAGAGCGTCAGCAGCAAAGTTGGTGCCATTTCCCAGATCCACTGCTTGGGGTAGGGAGGAGGCTGAAATTGCTCATGAGGGAAAAGCTGCAGCCCAGGAGCTCCTCAGGACCTGTCTTCCCAAGACTTTTTTGGGTGTCACCACCCTCCCTGAGCCCGCTGTGGGCAGAGATCAGCACTGTGCTGCTGGAGACCTGAGCACGGGCTCCAGCTCCAGGACATGAATTTATGGTCAGTTTGGACTTAGAGAACTGAAGGAATTTTCTTCTCAGTACAGAACAATTACAGGGAAGAGCCTAAAACCACACAGAGACCAATGGAAAATAATGTCTCTGAAACAAGTTCTGTATTTGTTCTGTGCCCAAAACAAGGGCACACGTGAAAAACACAGGGGAGAAAAAATGCCCAACTGAGAAGACTCCCACGAACAGAAGAGAATGATACTCACCGAGTTCCTGGGCTTGTTGCTCTGAAAAGGAAGAGAAAGCAGCACAAATGGGTTGTGGGCCATTGATTTGGCCATCCCCTGTCTGCCCTCTCCTGGGACCCCCTGCACGGGCTGGAGGGCGGGTTTGTGCCAAGGCTGAGCAGTGCAAAGCCCTGTCCCACCCCCAGCCTGCAGCTCTGCTCCCCCGCCCATGGGGCAGCTTGTCCTGCTCAACCTGGGGGCAGGAAAGGATCTCTGGCAGGTCCCTCATCTCCAAGGGCACCAGGGCACTCCCACCCTGCCACTGCTACTGCTGCCCCCACCCGATCCCATCCCCAGGCACCATCTTCAGTCACCTTGAATTTTGGATTCCCAAATTCACTCTCTCCGTCCACCCATCACCAAGTGAACCACAAAGTGAACCACTTTTTGGTTCACTTCACACATTAAAAGTGAGAGAAAAAAAGCCCAAATGAACCCAACACCCCTCACAAGCTGTAAAAAATCCTTTTCCAGGACAGACTTGTTGGGATATAGGGAGGAGGCTGAAATTGCTCATGAGGGAAAAGCTGCAGCCCAGGAGCTCCTCAGGACCTGTCTTCCCAAGACTTTGGGGGTCTCACCCACCCTCCCTGAGCCCGCTGTGGGCAGAGATCAGACCGTGCTGCTGGAGACCTGAGCACGGGCTCCAGCTCCAGGGCAGCGCTGAAGGGGCAGCTTTGCAGCACCAAGGGAGGAGCGTGGGGTGAAATGTCCCCTGCAGTGCTCCCTAAGGGCCCTGTGCCTGTGCTCTGCAGTGCTCAGAACAGCTGAGGCCCCTGCACAATGAAATGTGCTACCCCAAAGCTTCCTCCAGACTTGGCAAGAACCTTGAGAGCACTTTGAAAAGCCAAGTTATTGTTGCTACAACATCTATTCCCACTTTCTTTGGTTCTGCAATGATTTTCCTGAAAATTACAACAGCATTTAATAAATTAACTTCACATGGTATGCAGCCACTGGCCAAACCATTTCCCTTCCTCATGTCCTCCAGAAATGTGACCCATGAATTCTTCCATTGGAAGAGTTCTCCCGTTTCTGGACAATGGAAAGTAAAGCTTACCTATTTCTTTCTGCAGCTTTCCTGTGTAAAGAAAGAAATGCAAATAATTTAGAAACTCATCCCCTCCAAAGAGCACTGATGGACCCCCAGCAGGAGTTACAGCCCCCCCCAGGGCAGAAGGGCCACGGGGCCTGGACGTGCTGCAGCGCCCGCACGACCCAGCGGCCCCATCTCCTGCCAGGGAGAAAGAGAGGATTTCAGTTCCCTTTATTCCTCTGCACCATCTCCTGTCAGAGAGATCTTTAGAAGGAAAGGAGGCACTGCCAGGCCCCCCAAACTGCCAGGGATTCTTTGCAGGTCAAGGCAAATTCTTGCTCCCTTTCTGTGCTGGGGCAGAGGAGCAGCTGATGCTGCTTTAATGCCAACTTCCTTCCTTGCCATCTTCTGGGAGAGGAAAGCTTTCTTTTCTTCTCTGACAGAAGTTAAGGTCATGGGTTTTTAAGTTCCCTGGCACAAAACATGTGCCTGAGACACCAAGACAAGACTCTGGTTCCATCCTGGTGTTTCTCAATCCCCTCATCCCTCAGGACCAGAGGTGGCTGAGTAGGATGGCTGCCCAGCCCCTTCCCCAGCCCCCAAACCCAGGATGGTACCTTTAATTTTAAAGAGATAAACAGTGATAATAAGGAGAGTGACCACAGCAACCAGGACCACGCCCAGGGCAATCCTCCAAGGATGGGCATCTTGGAAAAAGGAATCTGAAAAATAAAATCCCCAAAGGGGAGGTTACTGCGCAAGGAGCGATAGAAAGGAGATTATTTCTATTTCATACAAGGTCATTCCATCTGAATCCCATTGAGGGTGAAAACCAGACTGTACACCACAAAAGGGCAAAAAATGACATTTTAAAAAAAATCCATTTTGGCAATTTTGCACCTGTCTGAGGTTCATGACGTTTTGTGAAGGATTTTTAAAGGGAAGATGGATTTCTAACCAAGTGATTTCTCATTAAATCATGCTTTTTTTTTTTCCTTTGGGAAAAAACAAATATATATTTCCTTAGGCAACATAGGATCAGAAATAGGGTGACATGTGCATCAAGAGCAACACTCCAGTGCAGAACAGCATCATCAAGAGAAAGGTAATGGTTCCCCAAGGAAATAAAATCTCCAGGACTTGTTAATTTCTGAACTAGAAGAGGAGCAGGGTGGAGTTGGAAAGGACGTGCTGCTGCAGTGCCCTTTGTTATATGGTTAATGGTTCATCATTGTATCTCTGCTCTGATATATTCCCAGCCCCAAGCCAATCACCCAGTGAAAAAGGAGCTTTCCCATGCAATAAGGAAAAATTAGAATTACATTCTATACTTGCAGGTGCTAAAAGGAGACACAAGGATTTATTTCTCATTCTAAATCTGTAGGACAGGATTTCACAGCGGGGGAGACTAAGGGCACGGGTTTGCTTCTCCTTTTTCATTTAGCTCCAGGGTTAGGAATGTGCTTCTTTCAGCCAGGGGTCTGTATAAACTCTGCCACAGGGAGGGTTGTACCTTTGCCCCCTGACCGGCCCCTGCAGACGGCCCCGGTGGGTTTTGGCAGCACTCCTGCACCAACGCTGCCGAAAGCCGCGGCCGTTTGCACAGGTGGGATGGAAATGGCCTTGACACGCTGAGCACGTGTCCTGCCAGGGGCCTGGGGGTGCTGTGCCCAGCACAGCTCCGTGGGGCCCGTCGGCAGGGCCGTGCCCCATCCTCGACTCACCTGAGACGTAAAGGGCCGGTCCCTGCCCTGGTGTGTGCGGGAGGTGCTGCACCGAGCAGGAGAGTTCCTGGTTCCCAGCCCTGGTGAGGATGATGCTGCTCTCAGCTGCAAAGAGCCCGTTCTTGTCCTGGGTAGCGTTTTCCGAGAGGGACGGGAGACGGCGCCCGTGGGGATCGTGCCACAGCACCCGGGGCCGTGGGTACCAGCCGGCAGAGCGACAGGCCACCCGGATCCCCCCGTGCTCGTAGCGCTCCAGCGCGATGAGCGGGGCAGAGCCGCTGGCTGCGGGCAAAGAGAGAGACCCCGGCTGACCCTGCGGGCTCCTGGATATCGGGGGGATAACCTGCTTGGGCTGTTTCTCTCCCTGACTTGGATAAACTGACATGGACAAATCCCAGATTGTTTTCAGACAAATGTCACCTGGAGTCAGGACATTTCTTGCAGTCCCTTTCATGGAACAGAGACATTTGCTCTGGAGGCCACTACTGCAGCAAAAGAATGCACTGGCCTGGATATTAAAACATGAAAGCACCTTGATGTTCTTCCCTTATTAGCCAATGACAGATTTTTTTTCTTACACCCCCTTTTATGAAGAAAACCATATCAAAACCACTTCTGAAGGAGGAAGTATTTCATGAGCTCTTTATGACTGCTCAGTGGGCAGTTTTACCTCTCTGAGTCCTTCCTGATATTTTACACCAAGGGACTTAATAAAACCCTAATTCCAAAGCAACCACCTGAGACTGTTTCTGGGCAGAAGGACAGGGAACAAGAGCACTGGCTGTGAGCAAGTAAATTAGAGGTACTGGGGACACAAACTACAGACCTGTCACCTTGAGCTCCACCAGAGCGTCGTTGTAATCTGAGCCACGTTGAACAAAGCAGGTGTAATTCCCTGTGTCAGAGAGTTGGACGTGGAAGATCCTCAAGTCCGCGCTGCCCTTGGCAAGGCCGTCCTTCCCCAGCTCAGTGCGCCCTTGGTACTGAACCATCTGCTCCCCAAACTGGTCCTGGCCCCACTTGTAGCGATGCACAAAGGGCAAGAACTGCTCCCGAAACCAGGTCACCTCCGTGTCCTGTGCATTCTGCCCCGGGGAGAAGCTGCAGGGCAGCACCACGTCCTCGCCCTTGGCCACGGTGATGGGGCCGGGGGGTGCAGTGACGGTGAGTGGAGCTGGGAGAGACCCCGTAGGAAGAAGAGAGAAGTGTGAGTTTGCTGAGGCAGCTGAGCTGGGACACAGCAGCGGCTGCTGCGCGTGGTTGGGGTGCTGCCGGGCCGGGCCATGGCGCTGGCAGCGTCCCTGTGCCGGGGCAGACGAGGGGCTGAGGGCAGCTGGCACAGGGACCCTGCCCTGCAGCACAGCCTGGGCACCAAACAGCAAAGGAAAGGGCCTGAGCCTGCTCTCTGCTCTGCTGTTCCCAGCGAGCTGCTGCACTGGCAGCCACCAAGATATTCCAGCTGGAAGCCATGGCACAGCATCCAGCAAGAACAGGGGGATTCTTACCTGAGTGCCCCTGAGGAACTTGGAAAACTAAAGTGGAAATGACAAAAGCCAGCAGAGAGCAGTGGATGGGGGAACCACAGAGCATCCTCCTCCCTGGAGCACAACCTGGAGATGGGGAAGGAGAGGCAAAGGGCAAAAGGGAAGACAAACAAGGGAATTTAAAACAAATCAACCAACCAACCAGGAGGAATTAATTTTGCATGGGGTTCATTGCTGATTTCAGCCCTCTCTGGAATGTTGAGGGAAGAAACTTGGATGCCCAAGGTTGAAATCGATTTTCCCTCATCAGACTGACTTTGGTTAGTGCTTTATAGGCAAAGGACCTGACTGGGATCAAAAGGGGTGGGAATTTCCCATGGGAAAGCAAAGGACAAGCTGCACCATGTCCTCCAATTCCAGCAGAAAGGGGCAGTTGTTTTCCTATGGAGCCCTGGCTTTACTGATCCAGCCTTAAGAAAGAGATGCACAGGGGCAGGGGGAGAAGGACAAACCCTGAGCGAGTCAGGACTCATTGCCTGCACCTCCCTGAGAGTGGGAGAAGGCTTTGGAGCAAGGGAAGCCAAAGAGTCCAAACACTAATGCAAGGCCCAGCCAAGACAGGACCTGGCTCTGCTCTGCTCTCCCACCCACCCCCCTTTTTGCCACTGACTTGGTTCCACTTTGCTGACGGGAAGTGGAAACTGTGTTCGGTTCTGGCGGACGGCAGGGGGCGATTTCCGTCTGCAGATTCCCAAAAGATGCCACATACCTGGAGACCCGGGTTCTTTCCTGGACTCTGGACTGGAGCAGGAGCTGCTTGGCCGTCACCTGGCACCTTGGAGGGGTCCCCTGATCCCAGCTGAGCTGTCCGGAAACCGAAGCAAATCGTCACCCTGTCCCAGCCTGTCCCATTTCCTCCTGCGCTGCTTCCCTCAAAAGTGAAAGTTGTTGAGTACTTTGGGGGGGTTTTGACAATGCTTTTTCTGTGAACATGCCCTTCTGGCAGCATGCACAGACACACCCCTGCTGCAGGGGCTCTCCAGGGCTGCTCCCTGGGCTCAGGAGGGGACAGATGTGGCAGCACTTTGCACATCCCTGGCATGAGCCCAGAGGCCATTTGGGCAGGAGGGAGGTGATGGAGCCAGGATTCACATCCAAAGGCAGTGGGTGGGAGCAAAGCCCAGCAGCAGCAGCTTCACTCTTGCTTAAAAGCAATTGGCAGCCAAGAGGCAAGGCCATGGAGGGTGGTTGGTTGAGGCAAAGCTGCTGCCCTGAGGGAGGCAAAGGCAGTGCCCGTGGGCGCTCAGCCCTGTGGGTTCCACACCCTCCCAGCCCAGTCAGGCCTGGGGGCACCTGCTGGGGCAAAGGGAGCTGATCAGGGATGTGGCCAAAAAGGGGGACAAGGCAAAGAGGGAAGCAGCAAGGGATGGGTCCAGTGACACAGATGTGTACAGCAAAGGACAGCAGAAAGAAGTGTAATGAGCCAAGCTCCTCACTGGTGCTGATTGCTGGGATCACAGATCCAGAGGTGTCACTCCAGGGAGATCCAGCCTGGCTTTTGTGACTGTACCTCTGCAAGCTGGGGATGGAAGCTGGGGATGAAGCCAGGGGTCCCAGAGACCTGAGGGTGTCAGCAGAAAGGTGTGAGCACTAAAGCCATGTGGAGTGGAAGGAGTCGGGGAGGACAAGGCAGGGGAGAGGCCGACAGGGTGGAAAAGGGACTGGTCACCAGCACAACGGAGCCTGTCCCTGAGCTTGGCTGGCCAGTGAGTTGGAGAGCCCAGGGGCAGGCAGGGGATGAGTCAGGTTGAGGGTCCCTGCTGGTGTCAGGGGTGCCAGAAGTGTGGGGTGCCTGAGGGCTGCGTGGGTGAGGGCTGCGGGTTTGCAGAGAGCATCAAGCTGGCTGTGGGGGGTCAGAGGGCCCGGGGGTGGGACAGGGGCACCCCTTGGCCAGATGGGCTGTGCCATTGCTGGAGGTGTGTGCAGATGGGCACAGGAAGGCAGAGAGGGTGGCCTGGGTCACCTGCAGCAGTGCCCCCCTGCCAGCCCTGCAGGAGGAGCGGACGTGGCTGCCTGTGCTGGGGGTGATGTGGGTGCCACAGGGGACCTGTGCCTTTGTCTGGTGGTGTGACTGGGCATGTCTGTGTGTCTGTGTGTCTGTGTATGTGTGTCTGTGTGTCTGTGTCTCTGTCTCTGTCTGTGTGTCTGTGTGTCTGTGTCTCTGTCTGTGTCTGTGTGTCTGTGTGTCCCGGTGTAGTGGGTTTGTTTAGCTGAATAATATCCTTTCCCTGGGAGGGATCTAGAAGTCATCTGATCTATATGGACCAATGAGATATTCCATAACATGTTACCTCGCCTCAGATATAAAAAAGCAAGGAGGAAGCTGCTGGCTCTCCTCTTCCAGGAGAGCTGCTGGGAACAGCTCCTGGTGGTAGGGGATCATCAGTTCTTGTGGAAAGTAGAATTTTACTGCTCGTTTCCTTTGCCTGTGTGTTTGTAGTGTTATTAGGTTTTTTTCATTTTTTCTCTGTGTAACTATAAAACTGCCTTTCTTAGTAAATCCCAGGTTTTTATGTTTTGTTTTTGCCGTCCCCCCTTTTGTCTCTGGGGGAGAATCAGTGCAGCCTCGGTGGACACTTGGTGTTCAGCCAAGGTAACCTCCCACACCTAACCTTTATGTCTGTGTGTCTGTGTGTGTATGTCTGTGTGTCTGTATCTCTGTGTCTCTGTGTCTGTGTGTCTGTGTGTCTCTGTCTTTGCCTCTGTCTTTTCCTGTGGTTCCTCCCAAGCCAGCCTGTCCCCAGTCCTGCTTTCCCAGACCATCTCCCAGCTCCAGGCAGCAGAGCCACCTGGCAACAGCTGCCCTCTCACCCTGCTGGATTTTGTGGCTTTCAGAGGGATGGGACAAAGCAGAGTGGACCCCCCTGAGTTCCCTACGAGTGGGGATGAGGCCATCAGCCCCAGGGCACACAAACAACTGCCTGGAGAATACAGAGCTGTGCTGCAAAGCCCAGCAAGTGCTGTCCCCATTTACCAGCTGAGCCATGGAGGCGGCACATGCCCTGCAAACATCTCCACCATGAACTCCTTGGCAGCAGGAGAAACCTGGGCAAAGAGCCAGGGCAGGAGCCAGCCCTCTCCCTCGCCCCAGTGTGCAGCCTGGACACCCAGAGCAGGGCCACTGCTCTGTGCCTGCTGTCCCCAAGTGCCCTCCCAGCGGGCTGGAGGTGCCTGTGGTGCTGCTGAGCCAGGAGGGCTCTGAGCATCCTGCCCAGGGAGATCCAGGCTCCTGCAGTGCTCAGGGGCTCTTTTCACCCCCCTGCAGCTGGCAGGAAGAAGAGCAGCCAAATCCAAGTGTTAGATGAGGTCACAGGTGGGCTGGAAGCTTCAGGGCAGGGGGGGCCATTGCCCAGAGGAGGGGAGGGAGAAGCTCCATGGGCTGGTCCCCCAGACACACTCCCAGTCCCAGCTGGGCTCTCCAGGCCATCCAGCCCCTCTGCACTGTGCTCTGCTCACTCAAACAAGCTGCAAGTGCTGGGCAAGCTCAGTCCAGCCAGGAGCTGAGCAGGAGATCAGGGGAGTGGGGAGCAGACTGAAGACCTGCCAACTCCTCCCAAACCTCCCTTCCTGCAGCCAACCTGCAGGTGAGTGCTGACTGTCTAAAAAGTGCCAGAATACTGTGACCTTTCCATCCTTGCTTCTCTGCTTTGTCATCTTTAGGCAGTCTCTGAGTCCTGCCATTGTCACTTTGAACAGGGAATCCTTCCTGCCCTCCTGTTGATTTTCTGTACATGTGCTGGCATCCAGGCTGGAGAGAGAAGAGAGTGAGACCTTGGTGAATGAGGTGGAGGAGATGAGTGGAAGAGATGAATTTCAGCAGAGAAGAGGGAAGGAAACTGTCCTCTGTTGAGGAGAAAAAAATGCACTGTCTGCTGTGGAAGTTGATTTGCTTTCTACATCTATTTCTGGCTGTCCCCTTTCCTCTGATGGGCAGGTGGAGGAAAAGATAACTTGGACACCGATATTGTTCACTTGCACCCTCAGGGCTTTGTAATCTCCCTTGAATCTGCCCAGCTTCTGGCTTGGGTGTCATTTGTGCCCCATGGAAAAGCAGCAGTGGAGAGCAGTCTGTGCTCTTGACAGGTTGTGGCACCCTCTCAGCAACCTCTCCCAGCTCAGCTGCCAGAAGGGGGGAGACCTCTGGTGACTCCCTGCAGGGCTGGCAGATGAGTGCCTCAGTGGCCCTTAACGCAGTCCCCCACTAGGAGCACTCATCCTTTCTTTTAGGGGGTCTGCTTTGTTCTGCTGCTGCACTCTCTCCTGGCAGACAGACCTTGCTCAGGGCTGTCTACAGCTGTTAAAGTGTTGAGTCTGGGTTTGGCGGTGATGCTGAAGGGTGGAGACTGAAGCAGAGTCCTGCTTTTGTGGGCCACCAGGTCTGAGGCGCCTCGTTCTCAGTGCTGATGGTCCCAGAAACCTGGTTCTAAACCCACCCACCTGCATCCACCTCAGCTCCTCTAATACTGCACAGCCTTTGAACTCTTCCCTGCTCCTGACAGAACACATCATCAACCTGTGCACACCTTTTCTCCAGGAGGAGGGGCTGGGCACTTGTTGCAACGGGATCTTGGGGTTTAGAGATGGAACAAGAACTAATAGTGTTTGCAGCAGAAGGTCCCAGAGAAAATTCCTGTGCTTTGATTGGAAGAAAGCAGCCAAGCAAGGTGGGGAATCAATGAAGAAAGGAGCTGAAGGAGTTGAGCAGGTGTTGCTGGGTTGATGTAGAACCTGGGGTATTGTCTTAAAGAAGGTCATAAGGCAGTCACTCAGAACTTTGGGGGCTCCAGACACAGATGACCACCAGGGATCCTCAATGAAGCCCCTCAGAGACCTTAATAGGACATGTATGCATGCTAAGGAGTGTTGAGAAATGTCATGAATATTGAACAGGAATGTGGGGAACAAAAAAGGAAGAATCATGTAATGCTGACATATCAGCTTGTGCAAGTTTGGAGTTGGCTTCCCACCAAATCTCCAACACTCAACAACAGAGCCTTGCTTCCCAGAGAGGGGAGAAAAAAAACCCAAACAGCCAAAGCTATAGCAAAGATATATTTTACATATAAAACAGATATATACCGTGAGAAATACTATATACCTATAACCCCAGAAACCCCAAATAGCTTCCTAAAGGGAAGAGGGGAAGGGAGAAGGGGAAAAAGGACAAAAAAAGGATGAAAAGGGACAGAATCAAAACAGGTCTACACAATCTAAAAACCCGGTAACCAGCAAACTGAAGAACTATTAAAATCTCCCCACTTCCCTTGAGAGAAGCAGGACAGCTGGACGCGGCCCAGCACTGTCCCCTCACGCGGGGCAGACAACAGCAGTCACTGTGGGCCTCAGCTCCACATGAGCAAGACCAAGACAGGCACCCACCGTTCTCGAACCTCGCCGCAAAGGAAGAGAGCGAACCCTCTTATCTCTGCCTTATTGATACCCCAGGTGACATGAAGGAAGAGCATGGAATACTTCCTGGGTCACCTTCCTAGTTCCTTCCTGGTTACAAGCTGGTCTCCAGGAAGGCCCGGTGTGAAAACTATCACAGAGCTGTGGTGAGGATCCCTCTGGGTGCACTTTGGGAACTGATTCCCAGGGCACCCGGCGTGCTGGAGTCACTTCAGTGCACCCTGATAAAAGAATGCCTGGCTTCTCAAACTCACAACTTTGGTCTTGGAGGTTTCTTTCAAGAGCTGATTTTAGGCCACAAACCCACCACCTGCACTGAAGTCTCCCTCCTTACCAGTTCTCTTGGGGGGAAGCCTTCCCTTGGGAAGGTCCATGCCTGCTGGATCTCCATGGAATGGAGGATCTGCTGTGAAAGCATGTGTGGTGTTTTAGGAATGGTGCTCCCCAATCAAGTGCTCCCTCCCAGACTCTCCCAAAGCAGATGCTGCTCACTCCCCCTGCCCCCACCTCTGGTTGAGAGCACAAAAGGCAAAGATCATGGGTGGAGAGAAGAACAATTCCCTGGAAACAGCAATGGGATCATTAAACCAACAGGAACAGCAACAATACTAAGAAGAAAAGTGTACAAAGAGAGGGTGATTTCCATGCCAAATGCTCCCTGAGCCTGAGACAAGGAAACAATGGTTCCACCCTCCATGTGTAAGGAACACCCTCAGAAGCAGGAGAGAAAGTCTCTTTTCCCCACACCTGGAAATGATGTGGGGTGATCTCATAACACAAGGTCTTGGCCATGGCCTCTCCCACTGATCTGCACTGGGACCAGAACAGCATGTCTGGCCTAGAGAAAAATCTTGGAGAGATGCAGCATGGAAGAGAGGTGCAGAGAGGTAACGAGATCTCCACCCTTGGAGACCCTTCTCTTAGTGCCTCCTCTTCATCAGGGCCACATTGTCAGATGTGTCTCAGAACCCAGACAGACCCAAGGGTAGACTTTTTTCCGCCCAAATGATGCCCGTGGGAACATGAAAATGGGAATCCCGTCATCAACACTGAAAAATGCCACCAGTCCCATTTCATAATCCAGAGAGACCCGGATCCGCCTGGGAGCCTTGATTTCAGGAAATTCAGTGGGACTAGGGGAGGTGAAAGCTTTCAGTTCTGGCCGTTTCCCTACTGCCCAGATGCCTTTCTCTGGTTTAAACTCAATATCACCCTTTCTTTCTGCACCATCTCTAAAAATCCCCACAATCCATTCTCCTGCATTCTCCACCTCCACCTCCCAGTAGTGTCTCCCCGAGCTGAAGCCCTCACAGCCCAGAATGCAGCGCCACACGTTAAATCTCTCAAGGGTGTCGGGGATGTCCTGTCGTGTGTCAAGTCGTTTCACACCTTTGCCATTGTCAGACAGGACAAGCTCACAGTGGGCTGTGTCTGGATCCAGAACCACGTTCGCTGCAGGAGAGATGGAATCAACACATCAGGGCAGAGCTCGGCCCAGGACACATCTTTGCTGGGGCTGCCTAAGGAAGAAGCAGGGGGGGAGGGAGAGCTGGCAGAGTGTGGCATGGCAAGGTGCACGAGGTGACAACAGCAGTGCAAGGAAGAGACACTGCAGCAGAGAGAAGAGAGGGAGCAGAGAGGGAAGAGGATCATCAGCAGAGCTCCAGGAGGAAGAATTGTGCACAGCTCACCGAGGACAAGGATCCTCCAGATTTGCCTGAAAGTGGGACATGCACCAAAGGAAAGGGAGGCTCAGCAGAAGCATGCCTGGTCCCAGCAGCATCACTTGCAGGAGGGGAACTGCCAGGAAGGGCCATTAAAGCAGGCAAGATGATTCAGCACCAGGAAAGACCAGACTTAGTTACCTGCTTCTACAGGCACTGCGTGTCTTCTCCAGGCTTTAAAAAAACACAAAAACCACAGGTCAGAGGCAATGGAACACACTGGGGTTGGGTTAGCTCAGGGGAATATGATATGCCAGTGGAGGTGCACATTTTCTGAATTGTTGTTATCTTTATCAAAGTCATCTCACTGCGAGTTGCTTCAAAACTTCAGTGTCTGACTACATGGAAGGGCTCCACCCATTTCCTACAAATCCAATCACGCTGCCTGTCCTGACTGGGACATGCATTTATGGTCAGTTTGGACTTTGAGAACTGAAAGAATTTTCTTCTTAGTACAGAACAATTACAGGGAAGAGCCTAAAACCACACAGAGACCAACGGAAAAGAATGTTTCTGAAACAAGTTCTGTATTTGTTCTGTGCCCAAAACAAGGGCACACATGAAAAACACAGGAGAGAAAAAATGCCCAACTGAGAAAACTCCCACAAAGACAAGAGAATGATACTCACCGAGTTCCTGGGCTTGTTGCTCTGAAAAGGAAGAGAAAGCAGCACAAATGGGTTGTGGGCCATTGATTTGGCCATCCCCTGTCTGCCCTCTCCTGGGACCCCCTGCACGGGCTGGAGGGCGGGTTTGTGCCAAGGCTGAGCAGTGCAAAGCCCTGTCCCACCCCCAGCCTGCAGCTCTGCTCCCCCGCCCATGGGGCAGCTTGTCCTGCTCAACCTGGGGGCAGGAAATGATCTCTGGCAGGTCCCTCATCTCCAAGGGCACCAGGGCACTCCCACCCTGCCACTGCTACTGCTGCTCCCACCCGATCCCATCCCCAGGCACCATCTTCAGTCACCTTGAATTTTGGATTCCCAAATTCACTCTCTCTCCTTCCACCCGTCACCAAGTGAACCACAAAGTGAACCAGTTTTTGGTTCACTTCACACATTAAAAGTGAGAGAAAAAAGCCCAAATGAACCAAACACCCTCCACAGGCTGCAAAAAATCCTTTTCCAGGACAGACTTGTGGGATATAGGGAGGAGGCTGAAATTGCTCCCAAGGGAAAAGCTGCAGCCCAGGAGCTCCTCAGGACCTGTCTTCCCAAGACTTTGGGGGTCTCACCCACCCTCCCTGAGCCCGCTGTGGGCAGAGATCAGACCGTGCTGCTGGAGACCTGAGCACGGGCTCCAGCTCCAGGGCAGCGCTGAAGGGGCAGCTTTGCAGCACCAAGGGAGGAGCGTGGGGTGAAATGTCCCCTGCAGTGCTCCCTAAGGGCCCTGTGCCTGTGCTCTGCAGTGCTCAGAACAACTGAGGCCCCTGCACAATGAAATGTGCTACCCTAAAGCTTCCTCCAGACTTGGCAAGAACCTTGAGAGCACTTTGAAAAGCCAAGTTCACTGTTGCTACATCTATTACAACTTGCTTTGGTTCTGCAATGATTTTCCTGAAAATTACAACAGCATTTAATAAATTAACTTCACATGGTATGCAGCCACTGGCCAAAGCATTTCCCTTCCTCATGTCCTCCAGAAATGTGACCCATGAATTCTACCATTGGAAGAGTTCTCCATTTTCTGGACAATGGAAAGTAAAGCTTACCTATTTCTTTCTGCTGCTTTCCTGTGAAGAAAGAAAGAAATGCAAATAATTTAGAAACTCATCTCCTCCAAAGAGCACTGATGGACCCCCAGCAGGAACCTGGGGACAATGGAAAGTAAAGCTTACCTATTTCTTTCTGCAGCTTTCCTGTGAAGAAAAGTAAGAAATGAAAGCAATTTAAAAATTCATCCCCTCTAATGAACACTGATGGACCCCCAGCAGGAAAGTGGGGACAATGGAAAGTAAAGCTTACCTATTTCTTTCTGCAGCTTTCCTGTGAAGAAAGAAAGAAATGCAAATAATTTAGGAACTCATCCCCTCCAAAGAGCAATGATGGACCCCCAGCAGGAGTTACAGCCCCCCCAGGGCAGAAGGGCCACGGGGCCTGGACGTGCTGCAGCGCCCGCACGACCCAGCGGCCCCATCTCCTGCCAGGGAGAAAGAGAGGATTTCAGTTCCCTTTATTCCTCTGCATCATCTCCCATCAGAGGGATCTTTTGAAGGAAAGGAGGCCCTGCCAGGCCCCCCAAACTGCCAGGGATTCTTTGCAGGTCAAGGCAAATTCTTGCTCCATTTTTGTGCTGGGGCAGAGGAGCAGCTGATGCTGCTTTAATGCCAACTTCCTTCCTTGCCTTCTTCTGGGAGAGGAAAGCTTTCTTTTCTTCTCTGACAGAAGTTAAGGCAGTGGGTTTTTAAGTTCCCTGGCACCAAACATGTGCCTGAGACACCAGGACAAGACTCTGGTTCCATCCTGGTGTTTCTCAACCCCCTCATCCCTCAGGACTAGAGGTGTCTGAGTAGAATGGCTGCCCAGCCCCTTCCCCAGCCCCCAAACCCGGGGTGTTACCTTTAATTTTAAATAGGTAAACAGTGATAATAAGGAGAGCAGCCACAGCAACCAGGACCACGCCCAGGGCAATCTTCCAAGGATGGGCATCTTGGAAAAAGGGATCTGAAAAATAAAATCCCCAAAGGGAGGTTACTGTGCAAGTAGCAATTGAAAGGAGATTATTTCTATTTCATACAAGGTCATTCCATCGGAATCCCATTGAGGGTGAAAACCAGACTGTGCTCCAGAAAAGAGCAAAAAATGACTTTTAAAAAGCATCCATTTTGGCAATTTCCCACCTGTCTGAGGTTGGTGACATTTTGTGGAGGATTTCTAAAGGGAAGATGGATTTCTAACCAAGTGATTTCTCATTAAATCAGGTTTTCTTCTCTTTTGGGAAAACCAAATACATATTTCATTAGGCAACATGGGATCAGACATAGGGTGACGTGCATCAAGAGCAACACTTCAGTGCAGAACAGCATCATCAAGAGAAAGGTAATGGTTCCCCAAGGAAATAAAATCTCCAGGTCTTGTAATTTCTAAACTCCAAGAGGAGCAGGGTGGAGTTGGAAAGGTTGTGCTGCTGCAGTGCCCTTTGGTGTATGGTTAATGCAGTTCATCATTGTATCTCTGCTCTGATATATTCCCAGCCCCAAACCAATCACCCAGTGAAAAAGAGGCTTTCTTATGAGACAAGAGAAAATTAGAATAACATTCTATACTTGCAGGTGCTAAAAGGAGACACAAGGATTTATTTCTCATTCTAAATCTGTAGGACAGGATTTCACAGCAAGGGAGACTAAGGGCACGGGCTTGCTTCTCCTTTTTCATTTAGCTCCAGGGTTAGGAATGTGCTTCTTTCAGCCAGGGGTCTGTATAAACTCTGCCACAGGGAGGGTTGTACCTTTGCCCCCTGACCGGCCCCTGCAGACGGCCCCGGTGGGTTTTGGCAGCACTCCTGCACCAACGCTGCCGAAAGCCGCGGCCGTTTGCACAGGTGGGATGGAAATGGCCTTGACACGCTGAGCACGTGTCCTGCCAGGGGCCTGGGGGTGCTGTGCCCAGCACAGCTCCGTGGGGCCCGTCGGCAGGGCCGTGCCCCATCCTCGACTCACCTGAGACGTAAAGGGCCGGTCCCTGCTCTGGTGTGTGCGGGAGGTGCTGCACCGAGCAGGAGAGTTCCTGGTTCCCAGCCCTGGTGAGGATGATGCTGCTCTCAGCTGCAAAGAGCCCGTTCTTGTCCTGGGTAGCGTTTTCCGAGAGGGACGGGAGACGGCGCCCGTGGGGATCGTGCCACAGCACCCGGGGCCGTGGGTACCAGCCGGCAGAGCGACAGGCCACCCGGATCCCCCCGTGCTCGTAGCGCTCCAGCGCGATGAGCGGGGCAGAGCCGCTGGCTGCGGGCAAAGAGAGAGACCCCGGCTGACCCTGCGGGCTCCTGGATATCGGGGGGATAACCTGCTTGGGCTGTTTCTCTCCCTGACGTGGATAAACTGACAGAGACAAATCCCAGATTGCTTTTCAGACAAATGTCACCTGAGTCAGGACATTTCTTGCAGTCTCTTTCATGGAACAGAGAGATTTGGTCTGAAGGCCACTACTGCAGCAAAATAATCCACTGGCCTGGATATTAAAACATAAAAGCACCTCGATATTCTTCCCTTATTAGCCAATGACAGATTTTTTTTTATACCTGATTTATGAAGAAAACCATATCAAAACCACTTCTGAAGGAGGAAGTATTTCATGAGCTCTTTATGACTGCTCGGTGGGCAGTTTTACCTCTCTGAGTCCTTCCTGATATTTTACACCAAGGGACTTAATAAAACCCTAATTCCAAAGCAACCACCTGAGACTGTTTCTGGGCAGAAGGACAGGGAACAAGAGCACTGGCTGTGAGCAAGTAAATTAGAGGTACCGGGGACACAAACTACAGACCTGTCACCTTGAGCTCCACCACAGCCTCATCGTAATCTGAGCCACGTTGAACAAAGCAGGTGTAATTCCCTGTGTCAGAGAGTTGGACATGGAAGATCTTCAAGTCCGCGCTGCCCTTGGCAAGGCCGTCCTTCCCCAGCTCAGTGCGCCCTTGGTACTGAACCATCTGCTCCCCAAACTGGTCCTGGCCCAACTTGTAGCGATGCACAAAGGGCAAGAAGTGCTCCCGAAACCAGGTCACCTCCGTGTCCTGTGCATTCTGCCCCGGGGAGAAGCTGCAGGGCAGCACCACGTCCTCGCCCTTGGCCACGGTGATGGGGCCGGGGGGTGCAGTGACGGTGAGTGGAGCTGGGAGAGACCCCGTAGGAAGAAGAGAGAAGTGTGAGTTTGCTGAGGCAGCTGAGCTGGGACACAGCAGCAGCTGCTGCGCGTGGTTGGGGTGCTGCCGGGCCGGGCCATGGCGCTGGCAGCGTCCCTGTGCCGGGGCAGACGAGGGGCTGAGGGCAGCTGGCACAGGGACCCTGCCCTGCAGCACGGCCTGGGCACCAGCACTGGCAGCCAGGAAGATACTCCAGCTGGAAGCCATGGCACAGCATCCAGTAAGAACAGGGGGATTCTTACCTGAGTGCCCCTGAGGAACTTGGAAAACTAAAGTGGAAATGACAAAAGCCAGCAGAGAGCAGTGGATGGGGGAACCACAGAGCATCCTCCTCCCTGGAGCACAACCTGGAGATGGGGAAGGACAGGCAAAGGGCAAAAGGGAAGACAAACAAGGGAATTTAAAACAAACCAACCAACCAACCAACCAGGAGGAATTAATTTTGCAAGGGGTTCATTGCTGATTTCAGTCCTCTCTGGAATGTTGAGGGAAGAAACTTGGATGCCCAAGGTTGAAATCGATTTTCCCTCATCAGACTGACTTTGGTTAGTGCTTTATAGGCAAAGGACCTGACTGGGATCAAAAGGGGTGGGAATTTCCCATGGGAAAGCAAAGGACAAGCTGCACCATCTCATCCAATTCCAGCAGAAAGGGGCAGTTGTTTTCCTATGGAGCCCTGGCTTTTCTGATCCAGCCTTAAGAAAGAGATGCACAGGGGCAGGGGGAGAAGGACAAACCCTGAGCGAGTCAGGACTCATTGCCTGCACCTCCCTGAGAGTGGGAGAAGGCTTTGGAGCAAGGGAAGCCAAAGAGTCCAAACGCTAATGCAAGGCCCAGCCAAGACACGACCTGGCTCTGCTCTGCTCTCCCACCCACCCCCCTTTTTGCCACTGACTTGGTTCCACTTTGCTGACGGGAAGTGGAAACTGTGTTCGGTTCTGGCGGACGGCAGGGGGCGATTTCCGTCTGCAGATTCCCAAAAGATGCCACATACCTGGAGACCCGGGTTCTTTCCTGGACTCTGGACTGGAGCAGGAGCTGCTTGGCCGTCACCTGGCACCTTGGAGGGGTCCCCTGATCCCAGCTGAGCTGTCCGGAAACCGAAGCAAATCGTCACCCTGTCCCAGCCTGTCCCATTTCCTCCTGCGCTGCTTCCCTCAAAAGTGAAAGTTGTTGAGTACTTTGGGGGGGTTTTGACAATGCTTTTTCTGTGAACATGCCCTTCTGGCAGCATGCACAGACACACCCCTGCTGCAGGGGCTCTCCAGGGCTGCTCCCTGGGCTCAGGAGGGGACAGATGTGGCAGCACTTTGCACATCCCTGGCATGAGCCCAGAGGCCATTTGGGCAGGAGGGAGGTGATGGAGCCAGGATTCACATCCAAAGGCAGTGGGTGGGAGCAAAGCCCAGCAGCAGCAGCTTCACTCTTGCTTAAAAGCAATTGGCAGCCAAGAGGCAAGGCCATGGAGGGTGGTTGGTTGAGGCAAAGCTGCTGCCCTGAGGGAGGCAAAGGCAGTGCCCGTGGGCGCTCAGCCCTGTGGGTTCCACACCCTCCCAGCCCAGTCAGGCCTGGGGGCACCTGCTGGGGCAAAGGGAGCTGATCAGGGATGTGGCCAAAAAGGGGGACAAGGCAAAGAGGGAAGCAGCAAGGGATGGGTCCAGTGACACAGATGTGTACAGCAAAGGACAGCAGAAAGAAGTGTAATGAGCCAAGCTCCTCACTGGTGCTGATTGCTGGGATCACAGATCCAGAGGTGTCACTCCAGGGAGATCCAGCCTGGCTTTTGTGACTGTACCTCTGCAAGCTGGGGATGGAAGCTGGGGATGAAGCCAGGGGTCCCAGAGACCTGAGGGTGTCAGCAGAAAGGTGTGAGCACTAAAGCCATGTGGAGTGGAAGGAGTCGGGGAGGACAAGGCAGGGGAGAGGCCGACAGGGTGGAAAAGGGACTGGTCACCAGCACAACGGAGCCTGTCCCTGAGCTTGGCTGGCCAGTGAGTTGGAGAGCCCAGGGGCAGGCAGGGGATGAGCCAGGCCGAGGGTCCCTGCTGGTGTCAGGGGTGCCAGAAGTGTGGGGTGCCTGAGGGCTGCGTGGGTGAGGGCTGCGGGTTTGCAGAGAGCATCAAGCTGGCTGTGGGGGGTCAGAGGGCCCGGGGGTGGGACAGGGGCACCCCTTGGACAGATGGGCCGAGCCATTGCTGGAGGTGTGTGCAGATGGGCACAGGAAATCAGAGAGAGTGGCCTGGGTCACCTGCAGCAGTGCCCCCCTGCCAGCCCTGCAGGAGGAGCGGACGTGGCTGCCTGTGCTGGGGGTGATGTGGGTGCCACAGGGGACCTGTGCCTTTGTCTGGTGGTGTGACTGGGCATGTCTGTGTGTCTGTGTGTCTGTGTATGTGTGTCTGTGTGTCTGTGTCTCTGTCTCTGTCTGTGTGTCTGTGTGTCTGTGTCTCTGTCTGTGTCTGTGTGTCTGTGTGTCCCGGTGTAGTGGGTTTGTTTAGCTGAATAATATCCTTTCCCTGGGAGGGATCTAGAAGTCATCTGATCTATATGGACCAATGAGATATTCCATAACATGTTACCTCGCCTCAGATATAAAAAAGCAAGGAGGAAGCTGCTGGCTCTCCTCTTCCAGGAGAGCTGCTGGGAACAGCTCCTGGTGGTAGGGGATCATCAGTTCTTGTGGAAAGTAGAATTTTACTGCTCGTTTCCTTTGCCTGTGTGTTTGTAGTGTTATTAGGTTTTTTTCATTTTTTCTCTGTGTAACTATAAAACTGCCTTTCTTAGTAAATCCCAGGTTTTTATGTTTTGTTTTTGCCGTCCCCCCTTTTGTCTCTGGGGGAGAATCAGTGCAGCCTCGGTGGACACTTGGTGTTCAGCCAAGGTAACCTCCCACACCTAACCTTTATGTCTGTGTGTCTGTGTGTGTATGTCTGTGTGTCTGTATCTCTGTGTCTCTGTGTCTGTGTGTCTGTGTGTCTCTGTCTTTGCCTCTGTCTTTTCCTGTGGTTCCTCCCAAGCCAGCCTGTCCCCAGTCCTGCTTTCCCAGACCATCTCCCAGCTCCAGGCAGCAGAGCCACCTGGCAACAGCTGCCCTCTCACCCTGCTGGATTTTGTGGCTTTCAGAGGGATGGGACAAAGCAGAGTGGACCCCCCTGAGTTCCCTACGAGTGGGGATGAGGCCATCAGCCCCAGGGCACACAAACAACTGCCTGGAGAATACAGAGCTGTGCTGCAAAGCCCAGCAAGTGCTGTCCCCATTTACCAGCTGAGCCATGGAGGCGGCACATGCCCTGCAAACATCTCCACCATGAACTCCTTGGCAGCAGGAGAAACCTGGGCAAAGAGCCAGGGCAGGAGCCAGCCCTCTCCCTCGCCCCAGTGTGCAGCCTGGACACCCAGAGCAGGGCCACTGCTCTGTGCCTGCTGTCCCCAAGTGCCCTCCCAGCGGGCTGGAGGTGCCTGTGGTGCTGCTGAGCCAGGAGGGCTCTGAGCATCCTGCCCAGGGAGATCCAGGCTCCTGCAGTGCTCAGGGGCTCTTTTCACCCCCC